AGAAGAGGCAAAGATGGAGAAAGAGATTAAGCAAAAATAATAAAGCAGCAACTAAGCTAAAGTAAAATCTATGCTTTGGGTGTGGCTCAGTGGTAGAGTGATTCCTTAGCATGTCCAAGGACCTGAGTCCTATTCACAGCACTACCAAAAATTAAAGAGAAATCTAGCTTCTGCTTCCAACTTATGTTTCTTTTCTTCTAGAAGTCAACGTGTTTCATTTTTCCTAGGCTCCTTCTACATGTACGTATTTGCTTTCCAAAAGCATTCCACAACTACTGAAGGTAACCTGAGTCTCTTCCTTGCAACTTAAAGAGCCTAAGAGTATTTTAGAACACTTATTTTTTGCAGCAGTGCAGAGAATGTACAAGATACTATGGTCAAACAAACAGCATAAAACAGAAAACAAGAAGACCACTTGGAAAGCATAACACAAGCCTAAAAGTCATGTGAGTTGATTTAAAAGAAAGAGAATATAAATGAAAAGGAACAAGAAAGATGTGAAACATTATGATAAAGAAGCCTAGGCTGGTCATACATAATGACAACCTGGATATTGGTAGTATGACTGGGTAGAATAAAAGATGAGTTTTATGGGTTTCTGAAAACCCATAAGAAATCAAGATAAACTGAGTAGCAGTTTCTGTCTGCTCTGTTCCTGGTTTTTGTGGGGAGACAGGCAGAGAAGAATCTGTTTTACTTCTGGATTAGAGTACTATGAAATGTGATACCATGTGGAGGTCTATTACCAAGTGATTTACAAAGGTGTAAAGCAAAAACAAGAGTTCTAGACAGACTTTGTAGATGTAGGAATCAATACATTAAACTGATGTGCTTTTGTTGGTTGAAGAGTATGTTTTGTTGTTGTTTTGAGGTTTGTTCTTTTTTGAGACAGAATCTTTCTACTTAGCCTGGCTGGCCTTTCAATTACTGGCATCCTGCTTCAGCCTCCCAAGCAATGGAACTATAGGTCTATAAACCATGCTTGACTCAAGTTGATGTATTTTTAAAATGTCTGAAAAGTCTAACTGTTTACTTCAAGTGGTCCTGTACCACTCTGAAAATTATTAAAGACTGAGGGGATGAAGAGATGGCTGAATGTTTAAGAGCACTTATTACTCTTCCAAAGGATGCAGGCTCAAATCCCAGCACCCACATTAGGCAGCTTACAATTGCCTACAAGGCAGCTTCACGGGAGGTGATACCTTCTTCTGGACCCCACTGACACTGGCAGACACATACATATACAATTAAAATTAAAATAAGTAATAAAAATAAGGACTGAATAAATATCTACAAAAATCCCAAGTGATGAGAAAAGATGGGCTTACATTACTAATTTCTACTTTAGTTACATTTCTTGTAAAACATGTAGCTTAACTGAGCATAATGGTCCACACTAGCCATACCAGCTACCTAATTAGGTAGCTGAGGCAAGAAAGATTAACTGAGCCCAGGAGTTCAAGACACATCAACAGCCATATACAATGCAGCAAGATCACCATCAAATCAAAAACAAACAAACAAACAAAGGCTAGGCACTGGTGGCCTTTAATCCCAGCTGTTACATGGAGAAACCCTGTCTTGGAAAAGGGGGTGGGGGAGAGGGGTAGGGGTATGATGATGAGTGGATATGAATTTATGAATTTATACCATTTCCTCATAACTGCATACCACTAAATTAAATGAAGAAAACTGTTTAGAAGTTATACCTTAGCCCTGTGTGGTAGCACCTCTAATCTGAAGGTTTAGTATGCTCAAGAGTTTGAGACCAGCCTAGGCTATAAAGAGAATTCTAGGCCAACAAGGCTAAATGGGAAAACACAATCTCACAAAAAATAACTGGACTGAAGACAATTGATAAAACTGTCTGCCAAGCATACACAAAGTCATTGGTTCAGTCTCCAGCACTGCATTAAAGAGACATGGTAGCACATTCATGCAATCCTAGCATTCCAGAGGTAGAGTTAAAGGAGGTCAAAGCCAGCCTGGGCTACATGAGTTTTGAGGTCAGTCTGAGGGACATGAGACCCTATTACAAAAAGTAGTAATAGTGGAGCTGGAGAGGTTGTTCAGAGGTTAAGAGCTCATCTTGTTCTTATAGAGGACCCTAGTAAGGTTCCCAGCACCTATGTTCAGCTGCTCTAACATGCTCTCTGGCTCTGGCTCTACACACTCACATGCACATAAGTGCACACAGACATAGTCTAAGAAATAAAAATAATAATAGTAATAGTAAAAAATAACACATTAGGTTGTGATTTTCACTACAACTTTTGAAAAGAACTTAATCTGAGTATTTATGTACTTAATAGTGTTCTAGCTGGGCAGTGGTGGTTTATACCTTTAATCCCAGTACTTGGAGGGCAGAGACCAACCAGGTCTACTGGTCTACAAAGCCACACAGAAAACTCTGTCTCAAAAAAAAAAAAAAAAAAGTTAAGTACAGGGCTGGAGAGATGGCTCAGCAGTTAAGAGCACTGGTTGCTCTTCAAGAGTTCCTGAGTTTAATTCCCAGCACCCATATGGTGGCTCACAACCATCTATAGTAGGATCAGATGCCCTCTTCTATAATAAAAGCATACATAAAGAGCAGTCATGCATAAAATAAATACATTTTTTTAAAAAAAAATGTTAGTAGATATGAGTTTGTAAATGCTGGAAATATCACCCCTTACCAGTTACAGCAGCTGAAAAATAGGAAATGAGTGGCTAGAAACTAGAGAAACTACATTATTCTTCTGAACTTTAGACTTTTTTGTTTTGTTTTGTTTTGTTTTTCAAGACAGGGTTTCTCTGTAGGTTTGGAACCTGTCCTGGAACTCTCTTTGAAAACCAGGCTGGCCTCAAAATCACAGGGATCCGCCTGCCTCTGCCTCCCAAGTGCTGGAACTAAAGGCATGCACCACCACCACCTGGCCAACTTTTGACTTTTATTCAGACTGTGTCTGATTAGTACCTATAGTGTCAATTGATTTTTTTTTTCTCTCTATACTACATGAAGGCACACACACGATGAAAAAAATAAAACTAAGTACTAACTACAAAGATCTTATTATCCCTCACCCTTGCATCAACATTAAAATTATATACTTAACACTAAACATTACATTTCCTTCTTGACATTTCAGGAATATAACTTCAACAAACATTTTATTCAATGTTCTACTACCACTGAGAAGGCTGTTAGTAACGACTTCAACACTGAGTGACATTTATATTTGCTCCTTGGAGAAGACAGCAGCACCGGTTGGTAAAAATAAAATTACTAAAACGACATTAGTCTTCAGGAATTATGAACAGCTATAAATTCTGTTTTCCTAACAAGTTCAAAAACAGTACATCAAAAATTCCTCTAGTTAAAACCTATATATCTGAATAATCTACAATGAGGGGAGATAGATGGAGATTTGCTTATGTTCATTGGTGTAATGCAACTTAATCCTTACAGAAGCACCTACCGCATAATATTTAGACTAGTTCTATCATTCTACTAAAGAGACAAGATGAGGAGCAAGCTGCTCGACCTTGTAACGGCACTCATACCCTCCTCTGGGCTTCCACACTCTTTCCCTTTCAGCGCCAGCCTAAAGGCTTCAAACACGAGTCTCAGTGTAACCCCTTAAAATCCAACGGAGTGAATGCACTGGCCTAAGTAAATAACCTCTTCAAGTTTTCCTGGAAAAGTCTTTCAACCAAGGAAAGGGACCCGATTGAGTAAAAAACGGGGAACAAGGTTTGTTTAGGGAGAGGTCTTCTAGAGAAGGTACACCACCAGGGCATCAGAGAGATCCAGAACTATGATGGTGACTTGAAGGGCTGAGCAGAAAGGTAAGAGCATCATGACACTGGAGCTATCTGAAAGCTTGTAACGGGTAGGGGGAAACGCTAGCCAACCCGGCTGGAAAGCTACGGGCGGATCCCTAGGAAGGCTGGGGCAGCAATGACCGGTAGGAGAACCAATCATCGTTGCAATGGGTTAGGAAGCAATAGTGGCCGTGACTCCGGGACTGGTATCCGTTCAGACGTAACGGAGTCTAGAGGCTACAGAGTCCTAAGAGAGTCTAGCAGGAGGGGGGGGGGGGGTCAGTGAGAAGAAACGCCGCGGCCGCAGGTAGACAGAACGGTGTCTGCTCAATGAAAGGTATGAGGAGGTAGAGTAGAATCTAGAGGGGCATTCGGGCCGCATTCGGGCGTTCGCGAGGTTTTAGAGGCAGAGCCGCTCGCGGGGCGTCTCCGCCGGGGCGGGGCGGGGCAGCCACAGCGGGAGCCAAAGAGCCGAGCGGGAGACGTGGGCCGGGCCAGGCCGGGCAGCAGGGCCGCTGGGCGCTGGGGCGGGTCTTACCTCGGGCTGTGCCGCGGTGGCCACCACAGCCCCTTCCTCTTCTGTGGTAGCCGCTTCCCACCCTCGGTTTCCAGGGTCAGGCCGGAGAAAAACAGCAGAGGCCGAGGCCGCCGGGGGTCGGACGGTTCCACGAGGGTGGGCCCAGCCGCCTCAGGGTCCGAGTGAGCGGCGTCCGCGCATCCCCCGCCCTGTCACAGAGACTCCGCCCGGCCTGGGCAGGCGCATCCCCCGCCGCACCCCGCCTAGAAAGCACGCGTTGGAACGGCCGCCTCAACCGCGTTCTCCGCTTATGCCCATGGGAAGGGTATCTCCGCCGCAGTCCCACCCCGTCCTGCCAGGACTTTCCGTCAGCCACCGCCAACTGCCTCCGCGTTCCCAGTCCGTTTGGGCCTGCGCGCCCGCGCCCCCAGCCCTGCTCACGCGGCCCCGCCCCGCGCGACTCTCCAGCAGCAGACGAGCCGGCGCGCGCGCACTTACCTCCCACGCCCCCTGCTGCCAAGCCCCGCACGGCCCCGCCCGGCCCCGCCTCCGCACGTGACGCCACTGGAGCGTGGGGCATGCGCTTGCGTGGACACGCCCCGTTTCCTCCACCCCCGGGTGGCCCCGCCTCCCTTTTCCTTCCTCACTTTACGGCCGTACAGTGAACTCTTCTTTACAGTCTCTGCTTGTAGGTAGAAATGTCGTAAGGTTGGAGAGGCAAACTCTGAGTTTGCGACCTTAGGTCTCACTTTCCGTCCAGTACAGAGGTTCCTGAAGGCTGGTTGGGTTGGTGAGGCCTGAGAAATAGGTAAGAAGCCTCCTCCCTACTTGGGTTTGTCTGAATTTGTGGAAACAGTGGATCGCTTTGCGGTCCACGCACACTCTAGCGCATCGGAGCCCCTGCCCCATTCTGCGGCTCGATTCCCGGCGCCGCCCCTTTCCACACATGCACACCCCTCCCCCACTTGTCCCCGCCCCCGAGTCCAAGTATTTCTTTCCATTCATTCCACAGACTCTTCACTGAGTTGCTTCCATACTGTAAGTCCCAGAATACCAAAAGGAAGTGAAATAACCTCAGTTTTTCGAAGCGCTGTGATGTAGGAAGCAAAGAATCCGCAATGGTAACACAGTAAAATAACACGGGATGAAATGAACACGAACTGTGGGATTGGGGGAAGGAGTCCCAAATGACTTTCAGGCCTGTCGAGAATTTGTATTAGAGCCCGTAACTGGTCAGGAAAAAAAATGGGAGAAGCATCATGGACGTGAGAATGGCTAGTACAAAAAAAGCCGTGTGACAGCTACCTAGAAGAGTTAAAAAAAAAAAAAAAAAAAAGCAGGCGGATTGCCATCTACCTAATATAAACGGAGCAGGTAGACTTCTGATTAAAGCAACCAGACTGTGTGGACAGCCTGAAGTAAATAAATAGCAAAATCTTCATCACAAGGGGAAACAAACAAAAAACCTCACTAGAACGCGTGAGGGAAATGATGAACTAGATTTAGGTGCAAAGGCTGTCTTTAAAGATCACAGGTTAGCCAGGTGGTGGTGGTACACGCCTTTAATCCCAGCACTCGGGAGGCAGAGGCAGGCAGATCTCTGTGAATTCGAGGCCAGCCTGATGTACGAAGCTTATTTCCAGAACAGGCTCCAAATCCACAGAGAAACCTTGTCTCCAACCCATCCACCCCACCCCCCCAAAAAAAAGATGACTGGCTACCTGAGTTGGCTGGCCTGTACTCCAGCTCCTGGGAGAATAAAGCGTTTGGATCGCCAAATAGGAAGCCAATCTAAGACAATTAAAAAAAAAAAAAGACACATGTGGTAGAACATACCTTTAATTCCCTATACTTGGGAGCAGAGGAACCCAGCCTGGGGGAATTCAGGCTAGCAGAGATACATAGTGAAACCCTGTCTCAAAAAATAGAGTAATTTAGCTCAGTTAGTAGAACAAGAGCTAGGCTCTGGGTCAGTCCTTAATTGAGGGTGGGGAAGGTGAAGGTTTGACATGGAACCTGAAAGTAAATGATTGGAAGGTGAGGAAGGGTAGAGAATAACAGTAGAACCTGAGCCTACCCATTAGAATCATCTGGGATGCTTTTTTTTTTTTTTTTTTTTTTTTTTTTAAAGTAAAGCTAATGCCATTTGCTCCCTCCTCCTATTAAACTATAAAACAGGTGACAAATGAAGGATAAAGTAGTGATGAGAGCTGGGAATGTACAAGAAGTTGAGTGAATTGATTTCTCAACCTTAGAGTTGGAATCCTTTGATAACAGGTTGAAGATGAGAAGCTTGAGCAGAATTAAATAACTGCTCTGGGAACTGAGAGAAGGGAAACCACTATTGCCTTTCTAGTCCACACTGTTCTGTGTGCATGGGAGGGGAAGGTATAGGCAGGAGGTTTGCACCTACTGCTTTGTGCATGCTAAACTGTGCTGTACACTGAACTGTATCCCCAGCCCTCTTTCTGCTTTTTGCTTTTGCTTTTTGTAACAGGGACAAGCATGCTTTGAATTTGTCCTGTAGCCTAGGCCTAAACTTTCAGATCCTCCCTGCATCAGCCACCAGTTCTGTTTCCCATCCCCAAACCTAATCAGATCTATCTCAGTTACTGCCCCTTTCTCTTTTTTTATAAGTTATGCCCAGTCTTTTGTTGTTGTTTTGTTGTGTTTCAAACAAACAACCCAGATATGACACACACCCTTTTTGGTTTTTTCGAGACAGGGTTTCTCTGTAGTGTGGAGCCTGTCTCTGCTTCCTGAATGCTGGGATTAAAGGCATGCACCACCACCACCCGATTTGTTTTGTTTTTTGAAACAGCATTTCTTTGTGCAGCCTTGGCTGTCCTAGAACTAATTCTATAGACCAGGCCAGCCTCAAACTCACAGAGATCCTTCTGCCTTCACCTCCCAAGTACTGTAATTAAAGGCATGTGCCACCACTGCCCGGTGCTGTGTGCAGTTTTAGAGCTAAAGAATCCACTCCCCCAGACATTCATGTATACTCACTCTGCCTTGACAATTCTAAGTGTCTTGCTCATTTACTAACATTTAAGTTAACAACAAGGTATAAAGATGTTTAAAACACAGCCCTCTTAGAATCACAGAGGATTGGGGTAAACAGACTTTTAAATAAAGAATTATAAACTTGGAAGTTAGAAAAGAGCTCTATGAGGTAAAGCCCAAGAAAGCATGGCTGCTGTATATTAACTAGGGTTAATCAAAAAAAACCTGTCTATCTGCCTCCAGATAAGAGTGTTGTCTGATATGGCTACAGCGTAGTATGAAGACTAAGGGTGGGGAAAAGATGAAAATGATAAAATGTGTGAACATATTATGAAGAGCCTTGAATTCCATGTTACAGGACTTAAGTTATCTACGTTAAGCAATTTATAAATATAAATGACAAGAGCTATTAACCTCTTACAATCTAGATTCCTTTGGCAGTTTGATCTGTCAACCTGATCTCAGAAAATTTATTTAAATGTATACAATAAAATACATAGAACTAGGAAGCCAATGCTGACTATTTAAACACCTTGAAATATGCAGTGTAGTTACAGATGTACTTTATGCATTAAGTAGCAGGTAGCAACAGGCCTAATTATATAATGTCTAAGGAGTAATGAGTATAAATTATATTGAGATACCTGCAACAACTTTAAAACAGTGTAAAAATATCAGATTTTTAGTGACAAAGACAGACTGCTAATAATACAATGATTGCCTACAATTATTGAAGAAAATGCTAACTTTGAGCCAGAATTAATTGAAAATAGAGAGACTTTTATCCCCAGTCCAAGGTGTTAGAACTCTTATGTTTTAACCACATCCTACTGGGGATCTATGTATCCCCAGTTTCAGAATACCAAAGTATAATAGTTTTAAGCAAGACTATTACACATCAGATCCATGTTTGGGAAAAATGATAGGTTAGGATGAGGATAGGGAAGTGGTTACTTTTCTGTTCCTTCTTTACTCCTGGGGCAACAGCTAATCTGATAATAACACACTGTTCCCAATAGCCAGAACCTTCATTGACATTAAGTTTGTGGGTGCATATATATGCACTTGCAATTCTGCAAAATTATTCTAGAAGGTAAATTGGAGCTATTGTTGTAAAATATGTATGTTAAGCTGTAACGTCTGCTTCATCTGGAGGATAATGAGATGTTAAAATATGTAAGAATGTGGTACAGAAGAAAAAATAGAATATGGTTACAGTTTTATTTGGAAAAAATTAATGAAGAATAATGCCTAGGTTAATTGTCCAAAAGAGAAGATACAGTTGTAAGTGATAGTAAAGGCTTTTTATCTCAGCACTTAAGAGGCAAAGGCACCCACAGATAAACACTAAGCTGAACTCCTGGAATCCAGTTGCAGAGAGGGAGGAGTGATAAGAAAAGGGGTCAAGACCAAGCTACAGAAACCCACAGAGACAGCTGACCTGAACAAAGGGGAGCTCATGGACCCCCAGACTGATAGCTGGGAAACTAGCATTGGACTGACTCAGACCCCCTGAACATGGGTCTCAGTTAGAAGGCCTGGGCAGTCTAAGGGACTTCTGACAGTGGAACCAGGATGTATCCCTGGTGCACAAAAGGACTTTGGGAGCACATTCCCCATGGAGGGATACTCCCTTAGCCTAGAGGCAGGAGGGAGGGCCTAGACCCTACTCCAAATGACTTGACAGATTTTTGATGATTCCCTCCTGGAAGGCATCACCCTCCCTGCGGAGTGGGGCATGGGAGGGAGGGAGATGTAAAAATAAGAAAAAAGAGAGGGACAGGTAAGCAGATCTCTGTGAGTTCAAGGTCATCCTGATCTACAAAGCAAGTTCAGGACAGCCAGGGATACATATCAAGATCCTGTTTGGAGATAGTAGGGTAAAAATGAAATGACTAGTTAATAAACTACTTTTGAAAAGTTGCATTGACTCTTGAGGTTCAATAGGGTTTTGAATGTCTATACTCCCAGCTTCTGAGAGGGTAAAGCTGGAGGATCCCAGAGAGCTTGAGGCTGGCCTAGACTACATAGTAAGACTCTGTCTCAAAAGAAACAGGAAGACAAAAGAAAAAGAGAGACAGGAAGATGAACAGAAGGAAAGAAATGAAACTAGATTGGAAGAAAGTATATCCCCAGTTTAGAGATAAACTCATACTTTGTATGGTCAAAAGGTAAGCTTAGCCTTTAGTATTGTTAGATATTAATAACAGCTTCCTGCTCAGATTGCATCTGCCCATGCTATGTTAGTCATTGATAGCTATTTCTAGTTATGAAACAGCAAATGGAAAGCCTAAGTGTTAGAATAAATTCCTAAGGATCATATGGTCTTTATCCCAGGTCCAAGGTGGCTCAGCAGGTGAAGGCACTTGCCTTCAAGCCTAACTACCTGAGTTTAATCCCCAAGTCACACTTGGTGGAATGAGGAAACCAAGTCCCAAAGGTTGTCCTCATCTGACTTCCACATGCATGCCATGACATGCATAACCCTGTACACACACTAAATAATAAATGTAATTTTAAATGTTTTCAAAGAAGTTAGGATCGAAGGCTAAGTAAGCATAGTGGTTCAGACCTTTAATCCCAGCATTTGGGAGGCAGAGGCAGGTAGATCTCTGTGAGTTCAGTGCCAGCCTGGTCTATATACAGACTTCCAAAACAGCCAGGACTACATAGTAAGACCTTGTCTCAAAAAGAAAAATTTTTTAAAAGAGTTGGAGTGAAAGAAACACAGAATTAACTAAAGATTTTTTTAAGCATAAGGAAATATATGACGGTGGAGTTAATTGAGCATCATCACACCAA